TTCATCATGGATATTGGCTTGAAGTTTTCTTTTCTTGTTGAGTCTCTGCCGGCTTTTGGTATCAGGATGATGTTGGTCTCATAAAAAGATTTGGGGAGGATTCCCTCTTTTTGGATTGTTTGGAATAGTTTCAGAAGGAGTGGTACCAGCTCCTCTTTCTATGTCTGGTAGAATTCGGCTCTGAACCCATCTGGACCTGGGCTTTTTTTGGTTGCTAGGCTATTAATTGCTGCCTCAACTTCAGCCCTTGTTATTGGTCTATTCAGGGTTTTGACTTCTTCCTGGTTTAGGCTTGGGGGGGTGTAAGTGTCCAGGAATTTATCCATTTCTTCCAGGTTTACTGGTTTATGTGCATAGAGTTGTTTGTAATATTCTCTGATGATGGTTTGTATTTCTGTGGAATCGGTGGTGATTTCCCCTTTATCATTTTTTACTGCATCTATTTGGTTATTTTCTCTTTTCTTTTTTATTAATCTGGCTAGTGGTCTATTTTGTTGATCTTTTCAAAAACCCAGCTCCTGGATTTATTGATTTTTTTGAAGGGTTTTTCGTGTCTCTATCTCCTTCAGTTCTGCTCTGATCTTAGTTATTTCTTGTCTTCTGCCAGGTTTTGAGTTTTTTTTATCTTGCTCTGCTAGCTCTTTCAATTTTGACGATAGGGTGTCGATTTTAGATCTTTCTTTGCTTCTCATTGGGCATTTATTGCTATATATTTTCCTCTAGACACTGCTTTAAATGTGTCCCAGAGATTCTGGTATGTTGTGTCTTCGTTCTCGTTGGTTTCGAAGAACATCTTTATTTCTGCCTTCATTTCATTGTTTATCCAGTCAACATTCAAGAGCCAGTTGTTCAGTTTCCATGAAGCTGTGCGGTTCTGAATTCTGAGTCCTAACTTGATTCAGAATTTAGTTTCTGAATTCTAAGTTCTACCTTGATTGCACTGTGGTCTGAGAGACTGTTTGTTATGATTTCTGTTCTTTTGCATTTGCTGAGGAGTGATTTACTTCCAATTATGTGGTCAATTTTAGAGTAGGTGTGATGTGGTGCTGAGAAGAATGTGTATTTTGTGGATTTGGGGTGGAGAGTTCTTTAAATGAGTTTGTGTCCTTTGTAGGAACATGGATGAACCTGAGATCATTCTCAGCAAACTGACGAAAGAACAGAAAATCAAACACTGCATGTTCTCACTCATAGGCGGGTGTTGAACATCGAGAACACATGGACACAGGTAGGGAGGATCACACACTGGGGTCTGTCAGGGGGAAGCAGGCGAGGGACAGCTGGGGGTGAGAAGTTGGAGAGAGATAGCATGGGGAGAAATACCAGATATAGGTGAAGGGGAGGAAGGCAGCGAATCACACTGCCATGTGTGTACCTATGCAACAATCTTGCATGTTCTTCACATGTACCCCAGAACCTAAAATGCAATTAAAAGAAAAAAACAACAAAAACTTTGAGGGCTGGTGGGATTGTAAACTGGCGTGACCTTTCTGCAAAGCAATTTGCAATATAAATCAAGAGGCTTCAAACATCTGCATGCAGAATTTTCCTTCCTAGGAATCTGTCCTGAGGAGATGGAAACATAGACTTCCGTACAAAGATGTTCATCATAGTGTTTTTGTGCAGTGGTTGAAAACAGAATTTTAATTTAAAAAATTTTAAATTTTTTGCCAGGCATGGTGGCTCACACTTGAATCCCAGCACTGTGGGAGGCCAAGGCAGGTGGATCATCTGAGGTCAGGAGTTCAAGACCAGCCTGGCCAATATGGTGAAACCGTGTCTCTACTAAATGTACAAAAATTAGCCAGGCGTGGTGGCAGGCACCTGTAATCCCAGCTACTTGGGAGGCGGAGGCAGGAGAATCGCTTGAACCTTGAACCTGGGAGACGGAGGCTGCAGTGAGCTGAGATTGCATCACTGCACTGCAGCCTGGGTGACAGACGAGACTTTGTCTCAAAAAAAAAAAAGTGTTGGTTTTTTTTTGAGATGGGGTCTCACTGTCTTGTCCAGGCTGGAGTGTGGTGGCACCATCCTGGCTCACTGCAGCCTTCACTTTTTGGGCTCAGGTGATCCTCCCACCTCAGCCTCCTGATTTGCTGGGACTACAGGTGCATGCCACCACGCCCAACCTGGATGTGGACAAATTTTTTGTATTTTTAGTAGAGATGAGATTTCACCACATTGCCTGGGCTGGCCTGAAACTCCTGGGCTCAAGTGATCCACCTGCCTCAGTCTCCTAAAGTGCTCGGATTACAGGCATGAGCCACTGCAATTCGGCCAAAAATAGCATTTTTGTAGAATGTTTAAAGATTTGGAAAATGATCATGATATGCTAAACAAAAAGATATAAGATTATATATGCAGTTGGATCTTAGATTTGTGAAATATGTTTGGAGAAAGAAAATGTAGAAGGCTCTGGGTTGGGAGTGATCGCAGTGGAAATTCAGTCCCAGCCCCTCTCCTCATCTAAGCCGGTATGTTCCTCTGGAAAAAATATACCTATGTGTATATTTGTGTGCACACATGTATATACAGTGGTGTCACATTTTCCCAGAAGAAAATGTATAAATTACACATATAAAATTTCTCTATGAATGAGCACATATACATGTATTTTCCAGACAAATGTGTAAAATTGGAGTTAATGGGCCAGGCATGGTAGTGAGTGCCCGTGCTCCCAAGTACTCGGGAGGCTACTGTGAGCTGTGATTGTGCCACTACACTCCAGCCTGGGCAAAAGGGAGAACCGTTCTCTGAGAAAAAAGAAAAAGTCCAGGTGCAATGGCTCATGCCTGTAATCCCAGCACTTTGGGAGGCAGAGGCAGGTGGATCACTTGAGGTCAGAAATTTGAGACCAGCCTGGCCAACATGGTGAAACCCCGTTTCTACTAAAAATACAAAAAGTAGCCAAGCATGTTAGCAGGGATCTGTAATCCAAGCTACTTGGGAGGCTGAGACAGAAGAATTGCTAGAACCTGGGAGGTAGAGGTTGTATTGAGTCCAGATCATGACACTGCACTCCAGCCTGGGTGACACAGCAACACTCCATTTATAAAAAAAATAAAAGAAGAAGAAGTGGGGAGGGGTCTGTGTGCAGTGACTGATGCCTGTAATCCGAGCACTTCAGGAGGTTGAGGATAGAGGATCACTTGAGCCCAGGAGTTTGAGACCAGCCTGGGCAACATAGTGAGACCCCATCTCTACAAAAAATAAAAAACAAGCTGGACATGGTGGCACACACCTGTAGTCCCAACTACTTGGGAGGCTGAAGCAGGAGGATTGCTTGAGCTCAGGCATTGGAGGCTGCAGTGAGCTATGACTGTGCCACTGCACTCCAGCCTGGATGACACAGCGAGACCCATCTGTAAAAAAGAAATTGGGGTTAAAGAGAGTATGGGGCTGTTCATTCTCCCTGCAAAAGCAAGGCTGTTAGGCTGGGCACGGTGGTTCACGCCTGTAATCCCAGCACTTTGGGAGGCCGAGGTGGGTGGATCACCTGAGGCCAGGAGTTCAAGACCAGTCTGGCCAGCATGGCAAAACCCTGTCTCTACTAAAAGTACAAAAATTAGCTGGGTCTGGTGGTGGGTACCTGTAATCCAAGCTGCTAGGGAAGCTGAGGCAGGAGAATTGCTTGAACCCAGCAGGTGGAGGTTGCAGTGAGCCAAGGTCTCGCCCCTGCACTCCAGCCTGGGCAACAGAGCAAGACTTCGTCTTAAAAAAAAAAAAGCTGGTTTTCTGGCTAGGGCCTTGCAACTCGATGGTCTGCAGAGAAGTGGGTTTAGTGTGTCTAGCTCAGCTCTCTAGAGGAAGCCTAGTCTGAGGGCTGCTGATTCATACGCGTATATTCATGTCTTTAGCTGTGGCTGCCTTGCTGCATTATTTGTGCATCTCACTTCTCTGGTTTCTGGTTCATTTCTAGCCTCCCCCCACAACTACCCCTTTACTTTTATCTGTTCTGTGAGGCCTCCCCTACCAGGCCCGCTCCCCACCTGCCCTTGCAGGTTTCACAGGCTCGGGACTGAGACAGAAGCGTTGCCCAGAGCCAAGCATGCAGTGGCGGCTCCCAGGCGTGTTCCTGATGAGTACGGGGATGTGCAGCTGCTGCTCTGGGTCGGAGCCTTTGGTTTGCAGGGCGACTTTGTTGTGGTTCTGCCAGCCCCACCCCCCACCCCCCATTGTCTCCTCCCTAACTGGTCTGTCCTGGGCATTAAAATCTGCTGTTCCCTCTCTACATCTCCCTGCTTCTAGCTGGTGGGGTTTGGCAAGAACACCTGCTCTTACTGCTTCTTTTGGGTCTCAGGACCCTCATGTGTGTCCTGGGGACGTCTGGGTGCTGTTGGGGGTGCCTGCCCCCCCAACATATGCTTCTGGGCACACAGGGACCTGTCAGGAAAGCTTGTAATTGGGGTAAGAGCTGCTGTAATGAGGGTTTCTAGGTGTTTGGCGGGGTTGGGGGGGTGTAGGTGATGGGGGCCCCAGACAATGGGGGCCGTGGGTGAGGAGGAACCCCAGGTGATGGGGGGCCCAGGTGATCACTTTGTGATCATGCCTGGGAGAGAAGCATTTGGTTTTCACCTGGAGGGGACCTTCTAGCTCTGCAGGGGCTCCACACAGAGCGGGGAGTTCTCCTTCTAAGGGCTGCTGACAGAGTTGGCTGCTGAGAGGGAATGGAAAATGGGCTTGGGGCCCCTCCAAGTGCAAAGTACTTCCCCATACCCAGTTCTGGATAAGGGAAGCTTCTGGAAGAGACTGTGGCCGTTTCCTGGGTGGTCCATGGAATCCAATGTGCTAGAGAAGAGGAAGTGGTTGGCAGGGTCCTTCTAAGCTGGCTGGGTGGCAGTGCTGTGTCCTGGAGGGCCAGGGCTCTCTGTGGAGCTTCTCCCCAGGCCTGGGCAGAGATGGCTGCATGAGGCCTTGGAGCAAGCAGCCCCATCCCCTGCCTGGGACAGGGGGCCATGTGTGCCTGGCAGTGAGGAGACACCTATTCATGTTGCCCACAGGGTACGGAGGACCTGGAAGTACCCATGCCTGAAGACGTCCAGGACCAGGCAGAGCTGGGCCTTGTGGGCCCTCGGACCAGCGTTCGTCTGTGGGGAGCCCCTGGTAGCCTCTCTGATCAGTCCCAGGGAAGATTCTGGACGAGATCGTGGCCGTCCCCAGGGTGGTCCATGGGCAGCAGCAGGGGCTCCCAGGAGTGGCCAGGCCCCACCCACCCACCATGCTGCAGTGCAGACAGGCACAGGAGTTCAGTTTCGGGCCCCGGGCCCTGAAGGACGCCCTGGTCTCTACCGACGCAGCCCTGCAGCAGCTGTACACCTCCGCCTTCTCCCCGGCCGAGCGGCTCTTCCTGGCCGAGGCCTACAACCCGCAGAGGACACTCTTCTGCACCCTGCTTATCCGCACTGCCTTCGACTGGCTCCTGAGCCGCCCTGAGCCCCCTGAGGACTTCCAGACCTTTCACGCCTCCCTGCAGCACCGGAGGCCCAGCCTGACTCGGAAGCACATCTACCTACAGCCAATAGGTACGGGGCACCTGCAGCCATCAGCGCACTCCCAGGGGACCAGCCTGGATAGAGCACAAGGTGGGGGCGTCTGTGCAGAGCCCCCTCCCCCCAAAGCAGGACGGAAACGAGGGAAGAGAGCCCTGGGTGGTTGGGAGGCCAGGGTGGAGGCAGGGATGTCCTGGCTGGGCCCAGGCTTCTTTCCTCCCCACCCCCACCATACTGTGCTCAGACAGCCCAGGCTCTGGGACCAGTCCACTGCAGGTGTGGTCTCATCCAGATGTGCACAGTCCTGGCCAGGCCTCTAGAGCCATCCCAGGCACTGTGCCACGTGCTGCAAAAGATCACTTCCAGGCCGGGCGTGGTGGCTCACGCCTGTAATCCCAGCACTTTGGGATGCTGAGGCAGGCAGATCATCTGAGGTCAGGAGTTTGAGACCAGTCTGGCCTACATGGTGAGACCCTGTCTCTACTAAAAATAAAAAAATTAGCCGGGTGTGGTGGCATGTGCCTCTAATCCCAGCTACTCGGCAGGCTGAGGCAGGAGAATCGCTTGAAACTGGGAGGCAGAGGTTGCAGTGAGCCGAGATCATGCCACTGCATTCCAGCCTTGGTGACAGAGCGAGTCACAAAAACAAAACAAATCACTTCTTCATTGGGTGTGCCGAAATTAGAATTAGCCTATTTCACAGATGGGGAAACTGAGGCTGGGAGTGGTCCCTTGACCTGCCTGAGTTGCAGAGCTGGTCACTGGTAGGGACTGGAACGCAGGTCTATTTGACCCTGGGGCTGGGCCGCTCATCCTGATGCTGTGCTGGGAGGGGCTGGGCTAAGCAGGGTGGCCCAGAGTGGTCACTCTCCTCAGAGTCAGTGTCTGACAGAGTTTGGGGGACCCAGGGTATACTGCTCAGAAGGGAACGGAACAGGCAGGTGGTGTGGGGAGCTCGAGGGGCTGGGCCGGCCTCTGTGCCTCTCACATGCCAAGGGCAGCCTGGAAGAGACAGCACACAGGACGGGGGCTCTTGGGCTTGGAGATGAGAAAAGGGCTGGAGTCCACATCTGACGCCAGTGCACCACGCCTTTTGGCATCTTAACAGCAAGCCAGAGCAGGGACGGACCTCAGCTGGCCTTGCCCCACGCAGGCTTGTCGCCAGCCCTGGTGGCCCATGCAGCCCTTTTCCCGATCCTCAGGACCCAAACCCTGTGGTGTCTGTTGGTCTCAGCATCCAACACCCACAGCAGCCAATCCAGCAGCTTGGGAGCCACCCGCTTCCCCCAACTTCCTGCTAAGGGCGCAGAGCCTGTGTCTCATGCTCTGATGTGCAGATACTTGGGCATGCTTTTGAGATGTAGGCGCCAGGTCAGGAGGCCTGGGTTGGGCTGGGCTCTGCATTTCCCACTGCCTGGGGTCCCTGCAGCCGCTTTCTCACTGTTCTCCTGGCTTCCACCCTTGGTCCAGTCCATCTGTCCTCCTGACGTGTGATCTGGTGTGTGTATCCCCTGGGAGGCCCCACTGCTTCTCCAGCCTTGAACTGCACCCCCTTTATGGCCTGCTGTCTGCCCCAGGCAGCCCAGCTCCGTGTGCTGCCTGCTCAGCCACAGTGCCTGGCACTAACCCTAGAAGTTCCTGTCCCCAGGTGAGGTCCTGCCAACCCCTTCCCTGACCTCACACATGATTATCACTGCTGTCCTTTCATCTGGGCATGAACCTTTCTTCTATGTCCCTTGGTGTTTGCCCTTTTGAAAAAGTCACGCTTTCCCTCTCTGTTCCAAGCCTTCTGCTCTGCTTGCTGTCAGGGGAGGTCCACATGGGCCTCATTCACCCAGCAGGCAGGTGCCTGCGGGCACTCCCAGGGGAGACGGTCCCAGGTGGGCAGGGGCACCACCGGGCTCACAGCGATGCTCTTCCACCAGACCTGAGTGAGGAGCTGGTGGGAAGCTCCCTGCTGCACCAGCTGCGCAGCTGCACGGAGGCCTTCTTCCTGGGCCTGCACGTCAAGTGCCTGCCCTCAGTGGCAGCCACATCCATCCGCTGCTCCTCGCGCCCCAGCCGGGACTCTGACAGACTCCAGCTCCACACAGGTGAGTGAGGATGGCAGCCGTGGCTCAGGCCAAGCCAGACCTCTCCGGAAGGAAGAGGTGGGAGGAAGGTGCCCAGGAGAGGAAAGAAAACTTTTCTTCCTTTTTGGTGGGAAACGTCCATTTCCCAGGTATTTGGGAAGCAAGACTGAAACAGGGGGTTCCTTTTTCCCACCCAGGAGTGTCTGGGGACGTAACCATATACAGCCAGTGTCCACGGGAAAATGCCAGAGCATGCAGAGCAGGAAAAGCGAGCCCTTCTTATTTTTTTGAGATGGAGTCTCACTCTGTCGTTCAGGCTGGAGTGCAGTGGCACAATCTTGGCTCACTGCAATATCCCAGGTTCAAGGGATTCTCCTGCCTCAGCCTCCTGAGTAGCTGGGGCTACAGGTGCAAACCACCATACCTGGCTAATTTTTTTAGAGACTGAGTTTCACTCTTGTTGCCTAGGCTGGAGTGCAATGGTGCGATCTTGGCTCGCCACAACCTCCGCCTCCTGGGTTCAAGCCATTCTCCTTTGAGTTCAGCCTCCCAAGTAGCTGGGACTACAGGCGTACGCAGCCACACCTGGCTAATTTTGTATTTTTAGTAGAGATGGGGTTTCTCGGGTCAGGCTTGTGTCGAACTCCCAACTTCAGGTAATCTGCCCGCGTTGGGCCTGCCAAAGTGCTGGGATTACAGGTGTGAGCTACCACGCCTGGCCAATTTTTGTATTTTTAGTAGAGACAGGGTCTCACCATGTTGACCAGGCTAGTCTTGACCTCCTTACCTCAAGTGATCTGCCTGCCTCAGCCTCCCATAGTGCTGAGATTACATGCGTGAGCCACTGTGACTGGCTTGAAGTGAACCCTTCTCAGTCCACTCAGCATCACACCAACCTTCTGTCTTTGCAAAGTACTTTCCATGTGTCTAGAAGACCCCAAACCCTCAAGCCCTTGCCCCTTCCCTGTGGGTCACTGGCAGCTGGAGAGTGTTAGGCGGGGTTGAGAGGTGGAAATGAAGTGAGGGCTTGTAGGTGGATAGGAGACCTTGGCTCAAGTTTAGGGAGGTCCTCAGGAAGGGGCCAGGCTTGAATGACTAGGTGGTCAGCTTTCATCAGTTCTGGGATACTCTGAGCAATTGCTTCTTTTGTCAAATATCACCTCTGCCCCATTCTTTTTTCTCCTGGGACTCCACCTGAATGTATATTAATCCATCTTACTCTATTCTCTATATCTTTTTTGATTATTCATGCTTTAGTCTGAATTTATTCTCATCCTTCAGCTTACTCTCTCTTGAGTCACATCTAAGGGACTCTTAAACCCATATATTGAGGCTGGACATGGTGGCTCACACCTGTAATCACAGTACTTTGGGAGGCTGAGGTGGGAGGACTGCTTGATGCCAGGTGTTCAAGACCAGCCTGGGCAATTAAGCCAGACCCTGTCTGTGCAACAAATATAAAAATAGCCAGCAGCGGTGGCACACACCTATAGTCCCAGCTACTAGGGAGGCTGAGGTTGGAGGATCACTTGAGGCTGAGAGTTTGAAAGTGCAGTGAGATGTGATTGGCCACAGTACTGTACTCCATCCTGGGTGACAGAGCAAGACCCCATCGTTAAAAGAAAATCAACAAAAACCACCCATATATTATGTTCCTAATTTCATTTGCCATATTTTTGAGTTCTATAGTTTCTAGTTCTTTTTCAAATTAGCAGTGTCAATTTTTTATAGGTCTCAGTTTCCTGTGGGATTTAAGTTCAGCTTTGACGTCCATGAACATAGTTGCTTGACAGTCTGATGATTCTGCTATCTGGAGTGCCCATGTGCCTGTATTTGTCACTTCTGCTAATTCTGTCTCAGTTATTGTGCCTTGTTATTTTTGATGGTTAGTTAGGCATCTTACTGGAAAAGTTAGTTTAACTTTGAGAAGAATTCTTGGCCTGGGTCAAAAAATCCCCAGAGGGAACTTTCTTTTCCTTCTGCCAGACACGTAAGGGCTGATTGTGGGACAAAGACGTGAAGCTTTTCTGGGTAGTTCTAATGGTCCCCAGGGCTCAGCATCTCTCCCAGGGCAGGAGGCATGTCATTAGGGTTATCCAACCAGCCCAGCTTCATCTGTCTGAGCTCGAATCCTCCCTGTTTTTTGTTTTTTCATTAGGTCTCTGACTTGTTTATTGAGGTATAATTTAGATAGTAAAATTCATCCTTTTCAGTGTACAGTTCTGAGTCTTGGCAAATGCATACATCATGTAGCCAACACCATAATCATATATAGGGTGGCTCTCCACCCTTATAAAATTATTCCTCTGTAATCTGCTCCTTCCCATCTTGGGTGCTTGAAGCAGCTGTTCTTTGTCATTCATTCTGCCTGTCTGGCCATCTTTTGGCAGGATGGTTGGACTGTTACAGGGAGCAGCCACTGTTGAGATTTTCTGGTTGACAGGGACCCCCCGGCTGGGGTGGGGTGCCATCCCCTGGGTGGCACATTTGCCTATACTCCGCAGGCTTCCCCAGACCCTGAGGTCCTGGAGTGGGGTTAGGGGACTGTCTGGTCTGTCTTAGAGCCAGGAACCCCATGCCTCTCAGGCTCGGCCTCTGTAGCCTCAGCTCTCCTCACCTCCCCCAGGCTGTACTCGGTGTATCTCACGTTATGGTTTCCATCATGGCTCCATCCTGTCTATGCCAGGACTGTGGTAGCTCAGAGACAGCCCAACATTGAGTCCAAAAGGGTCACTCCAGTGCTTTTCACCCCTTCTGCTTAGTGAATGAACTGCTGTTTTCCCCAGCCTCACACTTCAGAAGGTGCAGCCCTTGGAAAAATGACTGCAGGGGAAGGATGTGCACTCAGGGAGGTTCAAAAGCAGGTGGAACCCAAAGGGCATGCTGGGCTGCATTTATGTGGTCAGGTCAGCATGGTTTGAGATTGCTTTTTAGACATGGGGGTCCTGCTTTGTCACCCAGGCTTGAGCGCAGTGGCGCAATCACAGCTCCCTGCAGCCTTGAACTCCTGGGCTCAAGCAATCCTCCCACCTCAGCCTCCCAAGTAACTGGGACCACAGGCATGTGCCACCACTCCTGGCTAATTATTTTTAGTTTTGTAGAGATGGGGTCCTGCCATCTTCCCCAGAGAATAGCGTGATTTGGATCACTGTATTGGTTTCCTGGGACTGCCATGATGAAGTACCGCAAACTGGGTGACTTAGGGACCTTTCCTGTCTCACATTTTGGGAGCCCGCAGTGCTGAAACCAAGGTTTTGGCAGAGTCACGCGGCCTCCGAAGACTCTGTGGCGGGTCCTCCCTTGCTGCCTGCAGCTTCTGCAGCTACACAACTCTAACCTCTGCCTTTGACTGCATGTGGGCTTTACCCCATGTGCCTCTGCATCTCTTCTAAGATGCCAGTCACTAGGCTCACCTTTGTTTTTTTTGAGATGGAGTCTTGCTCTTTCACCCAGGCTGGAACACAGTGGTGTAATCTTGGCTCACTGCAACCTCTGCCTCCTGGGTTCAGGCAATTCTCCTGTCTCAGCCTCCTGAGTAGTGGGATTACAGGTGCATGCCACCATGCCTGGCTAATTTTTGTATTTTTAGTAGATATGGGGTTTCACCATGTTGGCCAGGCTGGTCTGGAACTCCTGACTTCAGGTGATCCACCCACGTTGGTCTCCCAAAGTGCTGGGATTACAGGCTTAATCCACTGCACCCAGCCTGGGCTCACCTTAATGACCTCATCTTAACTGGATTACTTCTGCATAGATTGTTTCCAAATAGGGTCAAATGACAGGTCACAGGGTGAGGATTTCCACCTATGTTTTTGGAGGACATAACTTGATCCACAACAATCATAATCGTCACCTTGTTGGCAAAAATTCCTTGGCCTCTCCTCCGAGAGCCATCATGCATTTCCCAAGGTCATGCCCTCAATGTGCACTGTTCAAGACAGAAGCCACTGGCCCCATGTGGCTCTGAATGCAACAAAGGTAGCTGGTCTCAAATAAGACGTGCAGTGAATGTAAAATGCATGCTGGAATGGAAGAGTTAATATGAAAGGCCATGCAAAAACCTCCTAATTTAAACATTTTTAGGTGGGACACAGTGGCTCATACCTGTAATCCCAGCACTTTGGTAGGCGGAGGCAGAAGGATTGTTTGAGACCAGCTTGGCCAACATAGTGAGATCTTGTCTCTTCAAAACACTTAAAAATTAGCTCTCCATGGTGGCTTATGTCTGTAGTCCCAGCTGCTCAGGAGGGAGGATCACCTGAGCTCAGGAGGCTGAGACTGCAGTGAGCTATGATTGCACCCAGGCCAGAGTGCGATGTTATTTCAAAAACACAGAAAAACCTCCTTGCCAATCTGTTCCTTTTAATGGTGGAACTCCTTGGAAAACACTTTTCTCCTCTGCATGTCTCTGTGCCCTGAACCCTCTTCTCTGCCGTCAGTTTGAGACCCTCTCTGGGTTTTCTGGGACCGTGGCAGCTGCTCTGCCTCCTTCGCTCCCCAGTTTCCCAGCTTTGACATCATCACCTTGTCCAGGCTGAGCCCCTGGGCCTCTCCTGTATCAGCCCACACTCACGCTCCTGCAAGCCATGCTAAAAACTTACACAACTTGCTGGCTCGGAAAACCCACTGTGATCTTATAGCTCTGTGGGTCAGGAGTGCCCCTGGGCTAAAGTCAAGTGTTGGCAGAGCTGGTTCCTTGGGGAGGCTTCAGGGAGAATCCATTTCTTGCCCCTTCCAGCTTCTAGAGGCGCCTGCGTCCTTGGCTCACGGCCTTTCCCCTTCCTCAGAGCCAGCCCTGCAGCGCCCTCAGGCCTCCTGCACTCACCCAGACCCTCTGCTGCCTCTAATCTTTTTTTTTTTTTTTTTTGAGATGGAATTTTGCTCTTTTTGCCCAGGCTGGAATGCAGTGGTGCAATCTTGGCTCACCACAACCTCTACCTCCCGGGTTTAAGCAATTCTCCTACCTCAGCCTCCTGAGTAGCTGAGACTACAGGCATGCACCATCATGCCCAGCTCATTTTGTATTTTTAGTAGAGATGGGGTTTTGCCATGTTGGCCGGGCTGGTCTTGAACTCCTGACCTCAGGTAATCCGCCCACCTCGGCCTCCCAAAGTGCCGGGAGTATAGGCGTGAGCCACCATGCCCAGCCTCAGGCTTACCTGGCTGATGCAGAATAACCTCCCATTCCAAAATTTTTAATCATCTGCAGTCCCTTTTGCCGTGGGGACTCATAGGTCCCTGGGCTGGGATGTGGACATTGCTGGGGCCGTCACTCAGCTGCCTCGGTGGCTTATCCTTCCTGGGGCTACAAGCGTGAGTCTTTTTGGCCTGGCTGCCTCTCCGACTTATGTCCTGATTTCCAAATGACCCCAGCCCTCACTTCACATCATGCAACTCTGGGCACTGTGAGCCCTCGGGTCAGACCAGAGGCTGCTGGCCCACGCCTGACATGGGAGGGGACGGGTTCCAGGGAGAGGAAGAGAATGACAAGGTTTGCTGGCCTGAGCCTGGAAGATGGGCATCTCCAGCTGCCTCCTGACCCCATCCCCTGGTCCTTTCCCCACAGACGGCATCCTGTCCTTCTTGAAGAACAACAAGCCCGGAGACGCGCTGTGCGTGCTGGGCCTCACACTGTCTGACCTGTACCCGCATGAGGCCTGGAGCTTTACCTTCAGCAAGTTCCTTCCAGGGCATGGTGAGCCAGGGCCCCCTCTGCCTGGGGGGAGCACCCTCTCTGCTCTTGCCTCAAGGACCCTGCTGGTGGAAGTGAATACCCATGCATGGGAACAGGTGCCACCTTCCAGGTCTGGAGGAATGGCGTGTGAGCTGTTCCTCTGCCCCAGAGCCCGTCTTTACATGGACTTGTGGGCAGGACAGGGCCGCCCAGGACCAGTGTGTCCTCAGGCTGTGGCCGGGTTGCATGAGAGCATAAGGTGGGTTTGATCGTGGGCCCCCGGGGAGCCAAGCCTGACCCCTGAGAGTGCCCTTCTCTTCATCTCTCTCCAGAAGTGGGTGTTTGCAGCTTCGCCCGGTTCTCAGGGGAATTCCCAAAGTCGGGACCCAGTGCTCCTGATCCAGCCCTGGGAGAGGCGGTGACAGACGGCCCTGAGGCCCCCCTGCAGGACAGAGGCTGGGCCCTGTGCTTCAGCACCCTGGGGATGGTTCAGTGCTGCAAGGTGGGTGGAGGGGCCTGGGAAGAGGGGACGGGAGGGTGCTGGCTGAGCCTGTGCTGCGTCACTCTGTCACATTGCCCCATCCTCACCATGAAAAGGACCAACCCCTAACTTTACAGAATGAGGAGACCAGGGCCACAGAGCTATGAAGAAGCAGGGTAGATATTAGAGCCTGTTTGTCTGGCTCCCAAGCCCCCGTCCTGTGTGGCTTCCCCAGGGCCACCACCCTGAATGTGGTCATCCTGTGCTGCCTGGGGCAGGGGGTGGGGTGCCCGGACCAATGGCCCTCCGACCTCACCCAGGTCCTAGGGCAGCTGCAGGGGACTCATCTCAGCTCTGTTGGGGCTTCCTGAAGATCTGCCTGATGCAGGGAGAAGGCAGTGAGTTGAGGTGGTTGGTGGCCTCTCCCCCAGGTCACATGCCATGAGCTCTGCCACCTCCTGGGCCTGGGGAACTGCCGCTGGCTCCGCTGCCTCATGCAGGGTGCACTCAGCCTGGATGAGGCCCTGCGGCGACCCCTGGACCTCTGTCCCATCTGCCTGCGGAAGCTGCAGCACGTCCTGGGCTTCAGGCTCATCGAGAGGTACCAGGTGAGTCGCGCAGCCCAGCCGCTGGGACCAGCACTCGGGAGGCCCGAGAGCGCCACCTGGAGACCGTGCGGGGCACAGGGACCACGCACACGCTTTGTCAACTGCCAAGTTCCAGCCCAGCAAAGCCTGGGACCTGCGTTGGGGTCCAGCTCTGCCCGGTCTCACCAGCGGCAGGGCGAGTCCTGCCAGTGCCTGCGTGTGGCGAGTACCTGGGAGGATGCAGCAGGGTTGGGTGGGGAGGAGGGGGGACAAAGAGCTTTTCTCCCTCAGGAAGAGCTGGGATTGGAGCCCCAGCCGGGAGGGGCCTTCCTGGTGGGGGAGGGGTGGTGGCAGGGTCTTCTTCCAGGGTAACTTTCTCTTCTCTTTCTCATCACCAATACTTGGGTCACTGCTGCTCAAGGTGGCACAGGCCCCCAGGGAAGAGGCAGGAGCTGCCCTGTTCCCAACCCCCTCTGCTGTGGTTGTGGAGCAAAGGGTTTGTCCGTCTTCAGGGTGGAAGATGTGTTTGCAAACTCAGAAGCTTTACTCTGAGTTCAGAGTGCAAAGGCAAATGGTGGCAATTTTTCTTTAAACCCAGCTTTGGATGAAAACAACTTATAAGGTGTCACTGTGCAAAAGCACAAGAGCTGTGAATGAAATGGTGCTAGGAACCCCTGCGTCCTCCTCCTAGTCTTGGGCCCAGGAGCTGGTGGCAGGTGGGGGCATGGTTTCCAGACTGAGCCTGTCAATCTCCTGCAAGGCAGGGCAGGGCAGGGCTGGGCCCTCCTTCCCTCTGGGACAGATCGAGGAGCTGCATCTTGCAGGGCTCCCAGGTGATGCTGCTGACCTGGAGACCGGGGTACTTCCAGATCACAGCGCCACCTCACTGCAGGGACTCCGGCAGTAAAGGGAAGGTAAAGCAGGCACAGAGACCATGGCTTTCCCATGTGGAAGGCTGGGAGCCTGTGACTTAGGCTGGAGCCCAGGTGCAGCCATGGCTGAGGATAGGAGCGTCTCCTGAGAGTGCAGGCAGCGTGACGGTTGATCAGCATCTGGTGACGCCTTGCAAAGGTTGCTGCTGCCAGCTGCGCCCTGTCAAGGCGTATAGGCAGTGAGGGGCAGCTTGGGCTGCAGAAATGGTTATGAGCTCTCACTTGATGCCTTCACTTGGGGTCTTGTGCAACCATGTGACATGGCATAGCCTGGATCTGCCTGGAATCTGAGCTGGAGGGCACAGCTCCTCCTACCCAGGGAAGAGGGCAGGGTGAAGGCGTTTCAGGGTGGCCTGTCCCTCCTGGCTATGGTAGGGAGGGTGGCGGTGCAGATGTGAGGTCACCTGCTGTCTCTGGTTACTGGGTTAGCTCCTGAGGACTCTGGCAGGTACTAGAGAGCTGACCAAAGGCCTGGCCAGAAAAGGTCACTGCTGTCCATCGAGAGCAATTGGTGAAATGCCTCTAGAAGAAAGATCCCGACCTGTGGTCTCTGCCAGTTGCTGTGGTGTAAAGTCTCACCATGGCTGATATGAGCTCCCCAACGTCAGTGAGAGCTGAGTAGGAAGAGGCACTCGGTGACCGTGTTAAATTTCATGTCCCCTGGACAGATGCAGGAAAGGATAGTAATCTTGAGAGCAGAGTTAAGAGTGAAATGTAGAAAATATTTAGAAAGTGAGTTTCAAGTATTCCCTTTGCTTTACATTTTCTTTTTCCCTTGTGATCTCACTATGTTGCCCAGGCTGGTCTGGAACTCCTGGGTTCAAGTGATCCTCCTGCCTCTGCCTCCCTGTGGTGGGATTACAGGCATGAGCCACTGTGCCCAGACCTTTGTTTTAAATTTTAAAATTTTATTTAATGCATTATAAGCGCTTTCTGGCTGGACACAGTGGCTCACACCTGTAATCCCAGCAATTTGGGAGGCCAAGGCAGGTGTATCACCTGAGGTCAGGAGTTCGAGACCAGCCTGGCCAATATGGTAAAACCCCATTTCTTTCTTTCTTTTTTTTTTTTTTTTGAGACAGAGTTTCACTCTTGTTACCCAGGCTGGAGTGCAATGGCATGATCTCGGCTCACCGCAACCTCTGCCTCCTGGGTTCAAGCAATTCTCCTGCCTCAGCCTCCTGAGTAGCTGGGACTACAGGTGCGCACCACGATGCCCAGCTAACTTTTGTATTTTTAGTAGAGACGGGGTTTCACCATGTTGACCAGGATGGTCTCAAGCTCTTGACCTCATGATACATCCGCCTCGGCCTCCCAAAGTGCTGGGATTATAGGTGTGAGCCACCGCGCCCGGCTGTAAAACCCCATTTCTAATAAAAATATAGAAATTAGCCGGGTGTGGTGGCAGGCGCATGTAATCCCAGCTACGTGGGAGGCTGAGGCAGAAGAACTGCTTGAACTCAGAAGGGGAAGGTTGCAGTGAGCTGAGAAAAAAGGATATTGAAAGCTTATTTATTTATTTGAGACAGAGTCTCACTCTGCACCATTGCACTCCAGCCTGGGTGACAACCTCAGCTCACTGCAACCTCTGCCTCCCGGGTTCAAGCAATTCTCCTGCCTCAGCTTCCCAAGTAGCTGGGATTACAGGCACCCACCACCACGCCCAGCTAATTTTTGTATTTTTAGTAGATGCGGGGTTTCACTATGTTGGCCAGGCTGGTCTCAAACTCCTGATTTTGTGATCTGCCCACCTTGGCCTCCTAAAGTGCTGGGATTACAGGCGTGAGCCACCGCGCCCGGCCAAGCTTTCTGTTAACTTTGGACAAGTAGCTGGCGAAATTCCTGAATGGTGAATGGTGGGCTCTTGGGGGTGGGCACCTCTGACTCCGGCACAGCCTGGATGTGAGTCCTCAAAAGGCCACTGGTCAGAAGAGCCCTCACGAAACCAGTCTGACTCCTGTGCAACTGAGGACACTGGGGTCCCCTTAGGTAAGGAGCTGGGTCTCTGGGCAGTTTCCTATCTAGACAAGGGCTGGCCTGGTGTAAACTTAGCCTGTGTTTCTCCCTCTTAGAGACTCTACACCTGGACTCAGGCGGTGGCGGGGACATGGCCCAGCCAGGAGGCAGGGGAGCCGTCGGTGTGGGAAGACACCCCGCCCATCAGCACCGACTCAGGCATGTGCTGTGAGAGTGACTCAGAGCCAGGCACCAGCACGTCGGAGCCCCTCACCCCTGATGCCTGGAGTCATGCCTTCTCCTCGGGGCTGGAGCCAGAGGACGGGTTGAGCTCCCTGGAGGCCTCTGAGGCTCCGCCTTCACTTGGGGGCCCTGCAGAGGCCATCAAGGAGCACAAACGGTGGCTGGCCATGTGCATCCAAGCCCTGCAGCGGGAAGGGGCGGAGGAGGAGCTGGCGCAGGTGGACAGAGCCGTGGATGCCCTCAACCACTGGGAGATGTTCACTGGCCAGCTCCCGGCCACCAGGCAGGAACTTCCCTGTGGCAGGGACAGTGCGGGGCTGCGTAAGGTCCTAGGGGACAAGTTCTATTCCCTGAGGAGGAAGCTGAGTGCCCGAAAACTCTCCAGAGCAGAGTCGGCCCCCTGTTCCTGGGACGGGGAAGAGAATTAACACTGTGGCGGCCGCCCTGTGTCTCCTTCCCTAGGATGCTGGCCATCACTGTCCAGTAGCTGGGGCCACTTCCCACCTGCCAGGGATTCAGAGGAAGGGTCTAGCTGGGTAGTGGCTCAGGCCTGTCATCCCAGCACTGTGGGAGGCCAAGGTGGGGGGGGGATTGCTTGAGGCCAGGACTTTGAGACCAGCCTGGACAACACGGTAAGATTCTGTCTCTACAAAAGAAAAATTTTAAAATGAGCTGGATGCAGTGGTTCCTGCCTGTGGTCCCAGCTATGCGGGAGGCTAAGGTGGGAGGATAGCTTGAGCCTAGGAGGGCAAGGCTGCAGTGAGCTGTAATCATGCCACTGTACTCCAGCCTGGGCAACAGAGCAAGACTGTTTCCAAAAAAAGGAAAGGTTATTTGGAAAAGCTACAGAACGCTCGTCATTAGGCAGCTCCTTCAACTCCTGTGCCCCAGCCAGCAGCCCTCAGGGGCCTGCACACACGGAGGGGCCTCCCTGCTCCTGGGCACTTCTCGTGGAGCACAAGGTGGACTGTGCTGGGGGTGGGGCAGAGCCCCCTCGCCTGTAGAGGCAGAAGGAAGCAGCGGGTGTCCTGTCTCCTTCCAGGCTGCGGGCCTGCCCCTCAGTTATTTATAGCAGGAAGCTGGAGAGGCCAGCTCAGATGAGGAGTGACCCTGGGGGCAGACAGGCTCCACGCTGCAATCCAGCTTCCAAGGCTAGGTCTCCCTGCTAAAGGGGGGAGCGATGGAGATTTGTTTCTGTCTCAAGTGTCAACCACATGCACACAGGAAGGGTCACTTTCTGTGGTGGCATCTGACCCTTACGGATTTCACACGGGCTCTCCGTGGAAGTTCTGGGGTTTGCCCTCTCTTCTGACCAACGCTGCAGGAGCTGGTGTTCACTGAGGGCAGGGGCTCCTCATTCCTGAGGCGGCTGCCACTCACCGTGGGGAAAGCAGACTGCGGTGATGTTTTGGGGAAGTTTCTTGGCAAAGGCGTCTGCACCGTCAGAGCCGAGCAGGTGGAGGTGGTGATCAGATGGTCTCTTTCCTTTTGGTCTAGTTCTTTCCATTGCTGAAAGGGGTGTTTTCTCCATAGCCAGGGCTGAGCATTTTATCTGTCTCCTTTTAATTTTGGTTCCTGCATTTTGAAGCTCTTTTATGTCAATGCACATTTGACTGTTGTGTCTTCATGATGAATTGACTCTCTTATCGTCAAACATCCCCCCTCAGCCTGCAGTGCGGAGTCCCAGGGAGAGACACTTCGGTTCTGAGAGTAGAATCCCGGCGGGGTCACAGTGCGCTCGCTCTCCTCTGCAAAGAGGCAAGAACAGAGCAGCTTGGACGTTTTGTGGGTGGGTGGCTCATAGGGTTTTGGAGGGCTTCTAAGAAAATCCAAAACACAACACGAAAACTAGAAGGGCTATGCAGGTGAGGAGGGCTGAGGCTTCCCTGTGAATCTGAGATTGGTGGAGCTACAGGCTCCTGGTCCTGGTCCCAGAAAATGCAAAAGGACAAGTATGTGTGGATGTCAGAGAAGCAAAGATGCAGCTCAGAAGTAGCATTAGGACCTTCCTCCATCCCGTTCTCTTTCGTGTAGCTTCTAAGAGGCACGACAGTGACCTGGGTAGTAACTATGATAGAATGAAGCAGGGGGAGGAAGAGCCAGGCCTTTCAGAAAATGACCTGGGCTTCCTCACAATATGGTGGCTGCCTTCCTAAGGTGGACATTCTGAGGGTCAGATGGAAGCTCTGTGGCCTTTCATAACTCGGCCTCACGTCACAGAATGTCACCTTTCCTGCACTCTACTGAGGCAGTGACAAGGACCCCACCCTGGGTTCACGGGGAGGGGATGTGGCAGGGACGTGAGACAGCAGAGTATTGCCGTGACCATTCATGAACAGCCCCACTTGGCGTTCACTGTGGGGATGTGGCTGGTGCACCTGCTAGGTGACCTTACCTGTTTTCTGATTTCCTTCATCTTCAGCAAAAGGCTCACCACTGGAGTGATGTGAGATTAAACAGCGGTGATAGAACAGCCTAGCTCAGGCTGAGGGTGGGAGCACATCAGGGTTATGACCAAAGCCTCTGCGCTGTCTCTGTACCCAAGTCCTTTGACCCTCAACTGCGATGCATGTCCCAAAAAAGTGCTTTGAAGTGGGAAAGAGCAAACCGCTAAAAAAAACCCTTTTATCCACAGCCTTTACCAAGTTGCAGATGGGAGTGAATTTTTTAAGACAGCTGTTGAGAGGACTGTTTTGAAATGCAATTTTAAGAGAAATCAGGTCTCCCTCCTCTTCCTAGCGTCAGCCCCAGGTTCTGTTTGTGTTGCCTTTGGTGAACAGTAATTTGGGACATTGCCAGGAAGACACTAAGGCAGAGGAGAGGTCATGAGTGCTGCCTTCTCGAGGAAAGTCACAGCTCATGAGTCTTTCTAACCTCCTTAAGCACTGCCAAAGTTGAAGTGAGATGAAATTTAGAGATGATGGTTTCCAAGACACACAGGACCCTGGTTCTTTCAATTTTTAAAAATGTGCAAAGCCTACCTGATTCCTTTCTTGTCTCATTTTCTGTCATAAGCCCCTGAATTCACAAGGATGGGTCTTCTAGCGTGGCAATGACTTCTGAGAGCCTCATCTATCTGGGTGGGTCAGGTTAGCAGGGCCTCATGGAGCTAAAAATATTTTCAAGTCATGACATACATTATCTGTATTGTTGTGTGTGCAATGAGGCTGGGGAAGCTAACGTGCCTTCTGAAGTAGCTAGAATACACACTCCCACGTCACAGCCACACCTTGATGAAGGGTTGAGAAGCAGTGTCCTCCCTGAGAGGCTAATCTCTCCTCAGGCAGCCCTACAATCCTCACAACCTCATTCTTTTCCCTCTCTTCCTCCCCTAAGCCCAAACTCATTGTCAGATGGGTGAGAGGGGAGGAGAATCCTCCCCACTCCTGCCCAAGGTATGAACCCTGAGGGCACAGGAAAGTGAGTTGAGCACTGCCCCCACCCCCACTTCCCAAGCATGGGTAAGGAGGGAGGGGTGCCAACCTGTTAATACTGTCCTGTGGGACATCGACTTCAGACCTTTCCCTGATGAAAGAAATCGCCAAAAGCCTTGAAAAAATAAACATAAGATCACTTAGTCAAGCACAAGTGATAAAGCTGGGAGTCCAAATTTAGATCCCACCAAGTTCAAAGTGGATGCTAGAACATTCCAGGGAGACACCCACATGTAGAGGGTCTCTGAACGGTGCCAAGGAAGTTGCTTTGCAGACCTAATGGGCAGGGACAGCCAGGGCTCAGAGAGGGAGGAAGGGGGGAACCCACTGCCCTGCCCAGGTCCACTTGGACAGGCACATCTTCCCTCGTCGGTCAACTCCACCTCGTACGGGGTCCCTCCTAAGTAACAGAATTTTTTACATCGTCATCTTTGTCTCAAAATGACATTCAAGGCAGATGCCTGCGTCCTCACAGTATGGATGTGGCCGCCAAGATGGAACTGGGAAAGGCGGGAGCCTCAGAAGCAGCAGAGCTGAAGTTGAGGCGCAGTTTGTTCTGGTTTGAACCCCGCGTTGTCCTGCTGTTGTGCAGGTTTCTTGGGAAAGCAGCTTGGAGAGGTCTGAGCAGGAAGAGAGTAAACGGGTGCACCGACTTGGGAGGCCTGCATCCCCATCCCTGAGCAGCCCCCACACCCCCTTGTTTCCAATTACCAGGAGGCTTTCTGGCCAACGCAGCCCCTTCTCTCTCCGAGGAGCAGCCTGGGTGGGTGGCCGGCTGCCCACTCTTACGTGAAGGTGCCAATGACAACACACCCGGGGTTGCTGGGGCTTCACTAATTTGTGTATAGAAGGAGGGCGAGTCCCGGACAGGAATATTTTTATTCCCCTGAAGTCGGAGCGAATCAGGGCTTCACGACAGGGCTCACAGATTGGACCTGGGCCGGCCTGCCTGCATGCTGGGAGCAAACAGCCCATCTTCTAGGCCAGATTTGCAGGTCCTGCAAGGGTAGAGACTTGAGGGAGCCTGGCTGCCATCCTGGGAGAGGCTCACCCTGCATGCAGACTGCTCTAGAGCTGAAATCTATCTTCGATATCTGTTGGAGCAACTGCACACAGAGGCGCCCAGTTTCAAGAAAACCCAAGGAAACAGCAAATTTATGGCTCTTGGAACTCCAGGCTGTCAAAGATAAACACTGCAGAGTAATCTAGGAAACACTTCCTGCCTGACTGTAAAGAGCCTCGGCCTGAACGTGGTTAAAAACATGCAGATCACGGGTGGAGATGCTGGACCAGCCTTCCCTTTCCTGAAATCTTAGAGCAGCACCTGATGAGTGAGAACCCAGAAGAATGGAGGTTTATCTTTGAACTCAGCTTCTTGGGGTAGGGAGGCAAATGAAAACAGGCTGATGGCAGAGGTTTATTTTTAAAAAGCAATGTCCAAGAAGCGTCCTGGGGTCACTATGCATTCAGTCCAACTCTTGCCACTGCAGTGTTCCCTTGATGATCTGAGGCAATCCAAATATTCACCAGAGTCAAGCGAATGTAGCGGCCCCTGCCCCAATGGCTGCACAGGAACGGCCCTCAGAGAGGGTCAAGGGAGCCAGGCCTGTCCAACCTCCTGCTGTCTGTGAGAGGAACCCGAGCTCTTGCAAGATTAGCCGAAGACGACATCTGCCAGATTCTACCACCGAGGCCTCCCTAAATGCCTGCTCCCTGGGCGTTTTTGAGATGGAGTCTCTCTCTTGCCCAGGCTGGAGTGCAGTGGTGCAATCTCGGCTCACTGAAACCTCCACCTTCCGGGTTCAAGTGATTCTTCTGCCTCCACATCCCAAGTAGCTGGGACTACAAACGCCCGCCACCACGCCTGGCTAATTTTTGTACTTTTAGTAGAGACAGAGTTTCACCATATTGGTGAGGCTGGTCTTGAACTCCTGGCCTTGCGATCCACCTGCCTCAGCCTCCGAAAGTGCTGGGATTACTGACCACCATGTCTGGCTTCCCTGGGCTTTTCAAGATGGAGCCTCACTCTGTCACCCATGGTGGAGTGCAGAGTGGCCCAATCTCAGCTCACTACAACTTCCACCTCCTGGGTTCAAGTGATTTTCCTGCCTCAGCCTTCCAAGTAGCTGGGATTACAGGTGTGTGCCATCACATCCAGCTAATTTCTGTATTTTCAGTAGAGATGGGGGTTTCACCATGTTGGTCAGGCTGGTCTTGAACTCCTGACCTCTGCTGACCCACCCGCCTCAGCTTCCCAAAGTGCTGGGATTGCAGGTGTGAGCCATGTGCCCAGCTGTCCCTGCGTTTTTAATGAACGAAATTCTGTCGTGTGGAAACAGCTAGGTCGGGAGTCACGTGGCTCCACCCTGCCAAGAGCTCTGGCTCTCTTGGCTATAGGTCCAGTGGTCTTCTCTCTCAGATAGGGTGCTCTGCCCGCCGCAGTGTGCCTGGATTTTTTGGATACAGCATGACTGAAGTGTCACTTCTTGGCAAAGGCCAGCATGTCTCTGTCCCCCTGCTAGTCTAAGACCCTCTTCTGTTCAAAGGCCCTCACTACACTTTGTGAGTCTGCTTCATGGGCCTCCTTCGGTGGTCTGTGACCAGCAGGAATGAATGGGGACGTGTTTTGTTCAGCCCTGACTCTTGCATGCTGGTGGCTTCAGCAGGTGCCCACTTCCCTGGCACGTGGACAAAGGTGATGAGCGCGGCTGATGGTTCCTGGGGGCAACGTGGGTTCCGGTCTGAGGCCGACACCCCTCCCCGGTTAGGCTTTTGGCAGCAGAAGGTGGTGGACTTTTCAACATTTCTTCCAACACTGTCTCGCGTAGGAGCTCCATTTCCATGCAGCACTGCTGCCATTCTAACAGGATGGGGCTTGTGGAGCCTGAGGGACTGCTGTAGCCAGGCTTGGTCTGGTGGTCAGGGAGCAGCGGGCAGGCCAGGGCTGAGCTGCGTTCATCTCTCAACGGCTTCCTCTCCCTGTGCTCTGCTCACCTGGGGTAGGCCTCTGGGAACAGGGAGTCACAGAAACCATGGGCAGTGGAGCGGGTTGGTGGAAGAGGCAGAGAGCCCTAGAGTAGAGAACGCAGTTTTCTCAGGATTGCTTAACCCAGGCAGGGGTAAGAGGTGAGCTCTGGCCGCTTATTCCAAATGTATGAGCAGGAAGGAAAGA